AAAAATACAAAACAATTAGCCAGGCATGGTGGTGGGCGCCTGTAGTCCCAGCTACTCGGGAGGCTGAGGCAGGAGAATCACTTGAACCTGGGAGGCCGAGGTTGCAGTGAGCCAAGATCGCACCACTGCACTCCAGCCTGGGTGACAGAGCGAGACCTCGTCTCAAAAAAAAAGAAAAAAGACGAGTCCTAGGCGCCGTGGTTCACACCTGTAATCCCAGAACTTTGGACTTTGGGAGGCCAAGGCGGGCAGATCATGAGGTCAGGACATGGAGACCATCCTGGCCAACATAGTGAAACCCCATCTCTACTAAAAATACAAAAATTAGCTGGGTGTGGTGGCGGGAGCCTGTAGTCAGGAGACTAAGGCAGGAGAATGGCTTGAACCCGGGAGGCGGAGATTGCAGTGAGCCGAGATTGTGCCATTGCACTCCAGCCTGGCGACAGAGTGCGACTCCGTCTCAAAAAAAAAAAAGAAGAAGAAGATAAGTCCTGATTGGAAAAACTGTAGTGGGTTTCTTAGAACTCATTCCCTGTAGGAAATCCTGAGAATGCCTGACCTTTGGCTAAGCCAACAGGGAGAACTTGTTGGTCTTAGTCACTTTAAAGTGTTTGAGCATTAAAGGTTAGAGGTTTTAGCAAAACCAGAGTTATTTTCCATCACTGTACTGTGATAAGACCCTGGTGTCAGGTTTGAATGGCTGTGCTGGCGTGCATGCATACTTCATGGCCTATGAGTCTTACTGATTCACAACTCTTTGTGGAAAAGTCATTTCAACTGCTACCAAATGAACAATTTTACAGCTTCTGAACAAATTTAATGTATAGCCTGAGGAGGAGCAAATTACAGTAGTCTAGCCTAGAAGGACTGAAAACACATATTAGTGTGTCAAGATTTCTGCCGGAAAAAGAAGCACTAGGTTTTGTGTGCCTCGCTTGTGGGTTTTCTTTTGTTTTTTTGTTTTTTTTTAGTATTAGCAATAAACTGTATCTCTCAAGAACACGAACATGAAGACTTCCACGCTGCAAACACAGAAATAAACTCAAAGTTAGGAACCCAAAGTTCTCATTCTAAACTTCAGGCTTTGTTGGATGTGTTATAGGTGACTCTGATATTATATTGCATCAACATTTCATATTATTTAAAAACAAACTTTTATCATGTTTTTTGTTTTATATTTGAAAAAGTAATAAGTGCTTATTGTAGTAAATTTAGGAAGTATAAATAAATAAAATTGAGAAACTAGAAGTCACCTATATATAATGCCCAGTCAGACATACCACTGTTCACATTTAGGAATGTATCAAGTTTTTTTCTATGCATATATATGATGGGTATACTTAAAATAAAAAATAAAAATGGCTCATAGAGGATATACTAGTTTGTATCATCTATATCTAGATATAGATTTTTTTTAGAGACGGGGTTTCACTCTGTCGGCCAGGCTGGAGTACAGTGGTGCCATCCATAGCTCACTGCAGCCTCAATTCTTGGTATCAAGCAATCCTCCCACCTCAGGATCCTGAGTAGTTAGGACTGCAGGCATGTGCCACCACACCCAGCTAATTTATATTTTTTGTTTTTGTTAGAGATGGGGTCTCACTACATTGCCCAGGCAGACCTTGAACTCCTGGGCTCAAGCAGTCCTCCCACCTCAACCTCCCAAAATTGGGATTATGGGTGTGAGCCACTGAACCTGTCCCTTCTTGTTTACTTAATAATAGATCATGAACATCTTTCTGTTATTATGTATGTAAATGCTTATGTAATATACATCTCTAAATGTTTGTGCCCATTCATTATTATTGTTTCCTCAGAATAACTTCCTAGATTTGTTGGGTCTCATTACTTATAGATGTTTAAGCCCATTGATACATACGGTCAAATTCCAAGATTTACTGTTATTGTATTCCAAGATTTACTGTTATTTATTTTCTGCTTTATTCCAGAAAGGATTCAGTATTACTGAGTTTGACATTTAATATCATTGTTGAGTATGAAATTTTAAAATATACTAAAGTAGTTTTGCCAGTGAGCCACAATGAAACTTTTTTCAATAAGCTTACACTATTTCCCTTTAGAATTCTTGAACTTCTAATGTATTCAGTCATTGGCATATTAGAGAAGCGAGAGTCAGCAGGATCCCCAGTTATCCTCCAGAGACTGTGTATCCTCAGTGGAAATTGGGTGGCAGTGTTCCTGTCCTATTGCACTGTGCCTTCTCCTTCTGTGCCAGGCAGCAGTGTTGACAGGCTACCACATGAAACAAATGTTTGTGGAGGCATCCCCAAACGTATCTATGGCTGAAATGTCTCTTCTGTAGTAGCAAGCTGTTGATTGGGTTTTTCTTTT